TAATAAAGATAATATCTCTAACTATGGGGGGCTGTTCCATTCGGTGGTGAGGGAAAAACAGCAAAACATCTAATTACAAAACAAACGGAATCACATTTCATCGGTAATTAAATATTAAATTATGTCATTTTTAAATAATCGTCCATTATAGCAAAGCTCAAGTTAAACTGGTCGATTTGAAGGGAAACAATTAATGACGCCGTCAATTGTTTCGAATTCGGGCTGGCCAATCGGAGCGCATTTGTCATCGTAATGATTTGGAAGAATAGTTTTCAAATAAATTAAATGACATTTCGTCTCTATTTCTGGTTACAAACTCGACGCTTACGCCCTTCCTCCAAAATACCGACGGTCATTGATACAACAAACACAAAAAAAAAATCTCCTTCGATCCAACAAGGACAGAGAAATTTCTAAAATCTGCTGGCTCGATCCGTATCTCCATTGCTAAGAGCGGTAGCCACGTTGAGGCAACTGACGGTTCGGTTCCAGTCTGATCGAAGAAATTTTTCTTTGTACTTGTTCGATCTTTGTGTCAATAATGACAATGACTACAGACATGGAAAAAACCATATTTTGATATTATACCAATCACAATTATCTTTATTCAACAATAAACGTAATAATCATAAAGAAACTTGAATGTTGATTAAGATACAAAAAAAGCCTGATGTAAAGTCCCCAATCCGCAATGTAGGTGGACATTATTTTTTCTACAATAATCTAGAACAATGTTTATCTAAATTACATATAAATAAATATCAAATAAATGCCTAACTTCAGATACAGTGTTGATAAAATTATATACATACAGTAAAATAACTTTCATATTATTATTCAAATTCAAAATAATCTTTATTTCATAGGTAAGCATTATTACACTTGAAATCGTCACAATGGTTAAACTCTACCGCTCATTCGTAAGGCAGATTCCCCTGAGAAGAATGAGCAAGAAACTCTAGGGGTTGCTCTTTGTAAATAACATTTACAATATTTTTTTATTTGAAACATCAGATTGAGACTACCTCCGTGAGCTAAACGGGTTACTACCACGGATTTTTGTCATCCAAGTACGCAGAAGTTGTATAATAACCTTTAGTATAAAGTTTTTATTTCACTATAGTTTTAAACCTCGTGAAAGGCAAGTTTTGTATATCAACCGGAATCTTGTTATAGAAGCGTATACATTGCCCCTTAAATGATTGTTTGACTTTGTGAAGACGACTATCAAGAAAAGCTAGTTTATTTTTATTCCTCGTATTAATGTTATGTCTGTCACTATTTTTCATAAAGAAATTACTATTCCTTTTAACATAAATTATATTTTCATAAATGTATTGTGAGGCTAGTGTAAGAATGTTAATTTCCTTAAACTTATCTCTCAAAGATACTTTGGGGCCCAGATTGTAAATTTCCCTAACTGCACGTTTCTGCAGGACAAAGATTCTATTGATATCGGCGGCATTACCCCAAAGCAAAATGCCGATAAATGCCGAAATATTCTCATGAACATATTTATAGGAACCCTAAAAGAAGGCTGAATAATGATAATAACGTCCTTAAGAACCCTAGTCACGTAGCAACTCAAGGCCACATAATAATCTAGTAAGTAAGTGAAGACCAATATGTTAGCGCGGCATATTAAGGGTCGTATTCCAGAACTCTTCTCAATACTCAAGTCAGGACTTGAGTATTACAGTGAGCACTGAAAATCATACTCAAGACCTTGCAATTAGAGTCGTATTTCCAGTGCTTGAAATCATACACAAGTCTGCTCAAGTCCTGACTTGAGCATTGAGTAGAGTTCTGAAATACGACCCTGAACGCCGCTCGACCAGGTGAAAGTTACTCTGTTTTGGGCATACTGTCAGGCGTTTTATACGAGTTAGCTGTGGTGCAATTACATAAACGATCGATAAACACGACGTCTAACGTAACGTCTTTATCGCGAAAAGATGATTTTGGCTTCTTCGCGATTTTATTATAGGTTATTGTATTATTTATATAATCACCGCCTGAACAATAGCAATAAACTTGACAGTAATGTAACAGCTGCCATCTGTTGACCTTTTCGAATATTATTACAATCGCATCGCAGGTTTACTAGGTACCATCGATTGATCAGCATTAAGAATTTAAATAAGCGTCCGAATAAAAAAAAAAAAAAAATATTGTCGTAAGGCAATCTCCATTTTCTCACAAAAACTGTACTTATTCCGATCCCTGGTGTAAATAAAACAAGATGTTTACGTGCTCATAGGAATAGTTCTCTGGGCCTCAATCACTATACGTATTATGTAGATTGTAATATACACGGAGCCTAAGCTGGTTACAGAATGGTCAGGAGTTGCGAACTTAGACAAGTTATCGCTTGAGACCGAAGGCATTATACAGAATTGGTAGCGCCAACCTTCATCATATTGGTGGACAAGACAACACCAGAGCACGAGCGATTCGTTCTGTTTACCCTGTAGGTTCTCGGGTTTCATTCAGAAAAAAAGTTTAGGGAGACTGGTATCATGACTGTGGCATCACAGTACATTTACTCAAATATTTTGTATGCTCGTAAAAACATACATAATTTCATTAAGAAAGAGAATATCCATAATATTAACCTTAGAACTAAGTCCAAACTCATGGTACAACGATTTCGTTTAACTAAGGTAAACGTTTCTTTTATGGGGAACTGTACGCGTTTCTACAATAAAATTCCTTAAGATTATCATTTCCTAAGTTTAAAACATACATTAAAAGTATTTTAATTGAAAAGTCGTATTTCAAAATTGACGAGTATGTGTTAGATAAAGACGTATGGAAAAACAACATGAGTCTAGATTACACACGTTTATGATTCAAAGTGTATTCCATAGCATTTCAGTTTATTTATTAATAATAATTAATATATATTAATAATTTAAACTTTGTATTAGAGTCATATTTATTTATTTTAATGTCGTGCAACTGTAATATGCGATACCCGCCCACTGTCTTAATCGATTTGAATTGTCAACCACGACACAGGCATGGCCTAGTGTGGTTGTCAAAGCCTATCTACAAATGTATACCGTTTGCCAATAAATTATTTGTATTTGTATTGTATTTGGAAATAGCAAGCCCTAGAGTTTCTTGCTCGTTCTTGTCAGGGTGGTCAACGTAGTGAACGAGCAGTAGCTTAAAAAAATTTACTTATGGAATAAATTATTATTTGACATTGACCAATCTACCAAAAACGCGCGGTACGATATCGTCCATATAAATACACGGAATTAGACCAGCGCCTGACCCGCACCCGCTCCGTGTGTATCACGCTTTATTATAATATCCTTTAATTAATACCATATAAATAATACATATGAATATTATTTACAAATGACCTAAAGTATGTATATTAAAGAAATCATGAGTACACAAGGTTATCTGTAAATTACTAACAATCACGCAGGACTACAGTCATTATCATTATAAACAATGACTATTGTTCAATAACTAAAAAAAATATAACTTTTCACAAAGTTTTAAAGTTTTTATTTTGTACTATCTAACACTTTTTAACTTTGTATTTGGTAGGAAGGTAATAAGTTCAAATGGCAAACATCTTGCCTGACAACGATCAACCAATTCCTGAGTTTAGCAACGGGCCGGAACTCTAACACACAACTGCCTCTGTGGCTGAACGGTTACCACGGCCACTGGGCCGGGAGAAATATTTGTATGGCCTACATTTGTTTCTCTCGTGAGTATGGGTGTGATTTGTGGCTGTCTATATGTGTGTCCGTGGCACCCGCGACATAGGCTTTCCCTAGTGCTATGTTGAGTGTGAGTTATAAAAAAAAATTAAAAAATCAATGTTAGCATAAAAAGTTGTCACCATGTAGAGCGATCTATTTAAATATATTTTATTTTTGTATAATCTGATGAATGATTAAAAGCAACAAAAGTTGTTGTTAATGATGTTAGTAATATAGTCCTGAGAGGTTGTTACATTTTACAAATAACCATGTATATGTAAACAAAGTCCAACTTTGTTTATCTAATCAAGAGTTCAAGTAATTATTACTCAAAGGCTAATTCCATATGGTAATTAGTGTTATCTGACACATAAAATTTCGAAGAAACTATGTCGCCATTGAAAGTACTTCTTGCACAGAAATTTCATAATACAACATGAGTGTCACAGAGTTACCGATTTAACCGATGAGTATATTTTACGAAACACACGCAAATAGAAGTAATACTTCTACCTGCAACATATTATTTGTAAAAAACATCTTGTACATCTCGCGAGTGCCGTGGACCCACAAAACACACCCAAATTCAAGACAGAAATAAATGTAGTTCAAACAAATATTTCTCCTGGCCTGGGCATTGAACCCAGGACCTCTGCATGATAACATGGTAAACGCTCGGCCACAGAGGCAGTTTGATTGATTTATTAATAACATCAGTGGTGTTATTGAATCAAGTTCATTTAATTTGTATGTCTAAATTCATCATATATACAGAAATATTAATAACACAGAAAAAAACAACAATTTTGTTTTTACTATATGATATTATTATACTTTTTTCTAACATTTTAACTGATGGACTTGAATAAACAGCCATGATATAAAAAAAACCTGTCTATTAATCATTTAAACACGATTCGCTCTGGGCCTTTTGGAGGGAAAAGTGTCGTTTTTATTTTGGCTTTCAATTATTTTGTGAAATCTAGTTTAAAGTGGAATAGGATAGTGCTATTGTGCCTTAATCGAAGATTAAAACGCGAAATTATACGAATCTCGAACTAAAATACCCGCATCGGCCCGTTCTAAGGAATCCCAAGTCTATCCAAACACGACGCCTCAAATTGCCTATCCTCTTTGTGGCGGTCATATTTACAGAAACAATTAAACGAAGACATGGCTCAAAAATAATGTACCAAGACTTGGCTGTATGGTGTAAAACCTTTGCCTTTTCCTTTATGGAAAGAAGAAAAAAAAAAACATTTAAACACTCACCTTCTTAGGCGGCTGGTTCTTTCTCCTCAGCTTCTTCTGTTCATCAATCAGCAGTCCAGGATGCTTTCCTTCACCAACTTCTTCACTTGGTATTTCTTCAAAAGTTCTTACTGCGCAGTCAATCTCATCTTTTGTTACTTCCTTATCTTGTTCGTTTTCATACAAACTGTCATCTGTCAGATCACCAATAGTCCTAGACATGTTAGGTGACAGCTTGCTAACATCATTGCAACCCGAATCGGACAATTCAGAATCTGTTTCAGACACGTCTGACTCACAATCTGAATCACCGAATACATCGTTTGATGTATAACAGCTATCTGGAGAGTCTTCGAAGACGATGAAAGAGTCCTCTGAGTCACAATCTGATGGTCTACGGAGTCGTGATACCTTTGGACTCTCAGAAAAAACAATTTGGGACGAATCTTCACTATCCGTAGTTGATGATGTATAGAAGCGACCTTTCATTTCATCGAAATAGTCATTTTCTACTGAGCTAGCAGGAGTTTCAGTCAAGTGATTGAGACTCCTTGACATTGGAGAAGCTTCTGCACTCAATGTGTCCAGACAATTATGAAATGAATCCTTGCATATTTTGCTATTGTGGACCTTAGGTGTATTATCACTTATATCTCCAGAGTCAATCTCATTTGCGAATAGCATGTCTTCTTGAATGACCTTTCTGAGTCTGGAATGCTTTCTCTTATCTGTAAGACGGTGTGAGTTTTTAAATTTCTTATCTTTTGGTTTCTGTATGGGTATAGGTTTTGGTGGCTTTTTTGTCACTACTTCTTTTGTACATTCAGTAATGGAGATGTTTGGAAGACTCTCCGTCCCGAGATTGGTTGTTTTAGGCTCTGCTGCAATGTGATGAGATGAGCTGTCATTTGCAGTCCGATGACATTTGTTTTGACGCCTATTTTGCAGAAGAGATTTCAATCTTGCCATTTTGTCTTCACACGATGTTATTATTTCTTTCTTTGTTACTTGTTCAGTAACTGTATTTGAGTTTTCACGTTCCGGAGTAGTTGTTATAGTATTCACAATTTCTGTTGAAATAATTTTATCAGCTGTGTTTGAAACTTCACTTTTAACGTCAGTTTCTAGAATTTGAGGCAGTATTTTCACAATATCTGTAGTTTCACTATCTTGAAGGGAAATTGAATTTTCATGTGAATTACTGTTTTCTGATACTGATATATTTATTTCTTTATCTGACAGAGGCAGTGATTTAATAATATCCGCGCTTGTTTCTCTTTCAGGAGCAAATTCAGTCTTCATGTTAGAGGCTTGAACTTCACAATTTTCACCATTAATGTTATTACTTACACCAAAATATTCTATGTAATCTTCATTCGCCAAACTTACAAACTCACCAGTATCAAACTCTTCTACGTAGCTATCATGCACCGAGCCTGGCTGCACAAACACTTTTTTTGGTCGTCTGAGCCGAAGCCTTGAGGGTTGTGAACTTTTAGAAGACTTAGGTACAGACTCTGAGCTGAGCAGCCTACGTACCTCATTTAGTTTAGTCTCACACTGGGCTACAGCAGCCCCAGAGTCGTTCATATTGTCATTTACTTCACAACTATCTGTAGCAAATGTTTTATTTAGTTCATTAATTTTGGATGACGGCCAACTGCTCGGTGGTGGCATCTCGTGAGATTTGTCAGCATCACAGCAATCAAAATATTGTACATCAGGTGATTTAGGACGCTTAGTAAATACCGCGCCTGATATTGCATCAAAAAGGCTTGTCATAAAGCCTGTTATGCTCGCCATGTAGTCGCCTCTGTTGTGGTTCGAGTTACATGTTATTTCCAGGTTTTCTGCATCTGAATAACTTGGATACTGATAATTCTCGTCGACTACGGACATTTTAGCAGCTTTTACCTTCTCTTCTGCTGAGACTATGACGGTGTCAGCCAAATTCTTCTTCAAAGGATCAGGTATAGAGCGAATTTTGCTCAAAAGTGTATCGTCAATTTCAGTTTTCTTCTCTATATGTGTGTCTGTACTGTAATTTGAGATGCCATAGTGGAAAGTACGAAAGAACATATTGCTGTTGAGGATGCTACGCCTTTCGCGCCTGTCGAGACCACGGAAATTCATAGCGAAATCACTTTGTTATGCTAAAGCTACGATCGGAGTTTATGAAGAGATTAAGCCATTCCCGTATAGAAAAAGGTGGCGTTTCTGTAATGAAAACGCTTTGTAGAGTCTCTAAATGGTTTCTTCCGAATTCTTGAGCACTCCAAGGGTGAATTGTGAAACAAACGACCACTCATATGATCCTGCGAATGAACACACAGATTCTTCGACAATGTGTTGGAATCGTTCGAATTACACACCGTTTCACTACAGTAAACAATGTCGGTAATATCAAACACACTCGCGGATTTAATATTTTCGAAATATCGCACGTTTTCAAGCTCCATTGTGACGAAAAAAGCAGAAATACGTGTTCACTGTTCGGCCATTTTGTAGAAATAATCATAATCATGGAGAAGGTAATGATTTTTTTGACGTTCGGTCGCTGATAAATAATAGTGCATCCAAACGACAGACGCAAAAGTTTATCGATATAAATAACATATGCTTGCCAATCGATTAATAAATAATGATAAATTTTTATCTACTTACATGAATTTGCAAACCATAAAAATTTTCAATTAATAATTTCTTTCAAGCAATTGCATATAACCTGAAAAAAAATAAAGAAAACAGCCTAAAATCAAAATTAAATTATCATTATTAATATCCAAATCGATAATGTGAATCGATACAATATTCAATCGAATCATTAAAAAAAGTAAGCGTACGTGGCTATCTTATGAGCATAGAAAAAAATGTGGCTATACTCGAATATCCATAGACAAATTGTAATTGTTTTTCTTCCAATCTGATGCAAGATTTGTTTTCATTGCTCCATATAATAAACCTTTGAGTCATTTTGATTGGTTGTAATATTTAATTGGATAATACTGGTTGTTTATAAAAGTGTAAAACTCATGACTTTTCTTTCTAACTAATTCATAATCCGTTTTATCCCTTAGAGGATGGAAAAAAACTAAGTTTTATTCACAATCGTACTTTATCGTTATTCTTACTATCGTGATTAGCCTAGATATTTTTTCACTCCAACCAATCTAGCGTCATTTGGCGTCATATAACATTAAAGAAAATTCAAAATTAGTAACCGGCCGCGGAATCAAGTGTAGCAAGTGCCACTAGGTAGGTACTATGTAGGTACTATACTATTTAAATATTACTATTATATTAGGAAAAGGCTCTTCAGTGTGCTGGGGGTCTACTCTCGATCTCCGTCCGACATCCGTCGGAAACAATTACTGTCAAATAAGTAATATTAGACAAAATTAAAAGACAAATATCAAGTATGAACCTTCATTCGCATCACGCGTCTTTTCATTTGGTCAAGTATTGCTTATTTGGCCATAATTGTTTCGGACGGAAATCGAGAGTAGACCCCTGTCCAGCATTCCCACGTTGGAAATCAAATGAGAGTAGGAGTTTATGAACCATAGTAACTGTAGTTGTCCAATGAAGATGATTTCACTATGACGTTTGCTGCATAGCGTCTGAAAAAAAAAAGATTAAAAATATTGCAGCATCCCTTAGACTATTATTTTTTTCCATCATATATGCAGCATCCCATTGGGCAACTGTCAAAAGGGACCGGACAGGCCGTGGAGCATAGATTTAATATATATACTAAATTGATGCCGTAGAGGGAGATCTCCCTCTACAAGACAGGCGGAACGCTATTGTTTATACCTATTTACTTAGTTTTTCTAAGCCTATGTACCTACTTGGTACTTGGTGCAACGGGCTGGTATCCGCAACTCGACGACAAAGCCCTATTTTGCGTTAAGCCTATGTATAATAGTTGCGTACGCTTTGAAGCGCATGAGGTAGTATATATGGGTAATATAGCTTTTTCTGAATATCATATCGAAACCTTAAATCGATATTCGTAATCGGATTTCGAAATTATATATTTTATTGGATATAGCCCATATGCGCACTGATACGTTGGCGTTTGATTAAATCGTATCGTCCACAATTGGATGGGAACGCGTTACGAAAAACACAATAATTTCCATTAAAAAATTAACTTCCCTTCACACAGTATACAGTTTGGAAGATGCACAAAAAACGGTTTCGCGTTGATATCCACTCAGTGATTATTTGATACGAAGCTATATCGGTATATAGTTTGGAAAATATGCGATTTCGATTTCTCCGTAATCGCTCGGCTTGATTCGGCATCGATATATAGTTTGTAAAATACCAATATCGGATATTCTATATTGCCGCAAAATATAGATTCAATAACTATATACGATTTGTAACGCCCATCCCTATGAGGTAGACGCGGAAAAATTCGATTGCCTTTTCTAAACAAAATAATATTTAGTATACTAAACTCCCTTACTGTAACATGTAAAATAAGCTCATAATTTCCTGACGTAAGTATTTATTGTGGAACACGGGAGAAAAAATTTAATCGAAATATCTCACTATAGCAATCAGACGAGTCGAGCCGAGGTTTCACGCTTGCACACGAGAACCTCGTTACTGTGCTGTCGCGTTATGGCGCATTCCCATTATGTCGTGACGACAGATAGTCGTGCAGTTTAAGGTGTCGTGACTTGTAGGTACGTCATTAAATGTAGTTGTTCACATATAGTACTGCGACGGTGTGACCTCCTTGCATCGTCATTCCACCTTTTTATTGCCTTTCTCCGGTTCCTGGGCACTCGTATTTAAATTTAAATTTTGAATTTTTTCATTCTTTTGCCTCCCTGCCCGATCGCGACAGCGAACACGTCTTCTCTCCTTATTTATTTGAGTCGTTTACCAGTTACTAAAAATGTCTTGTACGATAAACATTTTAAAGATCATAAATATTGTTAAAACTGGAATAAATATTTATAAAACTGGATTTATTACCACTAGTTCTTTACCCGTTTGAACTCCTGAACGTTAAACTCACTAAGCTAGATCTGCGGTTGGCAGAACATCTCAAGCGGCTACATTATAATCGACACGACGTGCTTAAGCGGTGTCAATCCACCAACAACATCGGCACACTCGCAGTACGACACGATTAACTATCGTTATAACGACAGAATGACAATGGGAAGAGCTAGAACGACAGTCCTCAGACGACAAATAAAACGTCACGATAAAAATGTGAGGACAGATAATCGCAGCTTACATCTGAGACTACGTATTTGGAGCACGCCAGTTCCGCTGCAAAGAAGATCCTAGCACTTTGCCTCGTGCTAAAAAATTGCTCAATATGTATGTATGCCACAAAGCTCAAACTGCGTCTTTGAATTCTTACATTAAACTTCTTAAGCCGGCTACCATTACCGACCTATAAACTGTAAGAGCGCGTTCCTATTATGTCGTAACGTTTTATTTATTGTTGGACGACTGTCGCGTCTAGCCTGTTCCCATATCACGACTATCTATCGTGACTGTGTCGTGAACGTTTATAGTATCGTTGAACGACTGTCGTGTCTAGCTGTTCCCACTAGACCGTGACGACAATTTATCGGTTCACGGCAACTGTAAGTCAATGGTGGCTGCCCTTGGCATATAACTTTATAGACCGAGTCAATGCGTCACGGGTAGAGTGTCGTCCGTAGCTGCGCGGACTTCCCACTGTTAAAGGGGTGGGTACGACATGGACATTCGACATAAGTTTCGTCTTGTCCATGTTTATTTTTAGACCCACCTGCTGGGAAACTCCGTTGAGGTCACCGTGTATGGTGCCAAGCTCTTCCAACGATTCTGCCATGACCACGATATCGTCAGCAAATCGAAGGTGAGTGATGTACTCGCCATTGATGTTGATGCCGAGTCCTTTCCAGTTCAGTAACTTGAAGGCATCTTCCATAAAGCAGTGGTAAACAGTTTCGGAGAAATGACGTCTCCCAGTCGCACTCCTCTTTGCAATTGGATAGGCCTTTTGCACTGGTCCTGGAGTCGAACTGACATAGTGGCGTTTCTGTACAAACACTTCACCACTTCGATATATCGATAGTCAATGCGGCACCATTATAGAGATTGTAGCACCGCCGCAATCTCGATCGAATCAAAGGCTTTCTCATAGTCCACAAACGCTAAACAAAATGGCAGGTTATACTCCTCGGTCGTCTGCATAACCTACCGCAGCATGTGGATGTGGTCTATGGTACTGAAATCCTTTCGGAAAAAGGCTTGTTCAGAGGGCTGGAATTCATCGAATCTGCGCGTAAGACGGTTCGTGATGACTCGGGAAAACCGCTTATAAATGTGGCTTAGAAGCGAGATGAGCCTGTAATTCTTCAATAGGGTGTTACCTCCCTTTTTGAAGAAGAGTATCACCACGCTTCTATTCCACGCGACTGGCGTTGACCCTTCTGGCTAGACTGAATTAAAGAGCTGAAGGACTCCAGTGCCGGTGTTCCACCCGCTTTCAGAAGCTCGGATGTAATTCCGTCTTCACCCGGTGCCTTGTTGTTTTTTAGCTGTTTCAGAGCTATCCTAATCTCGTACAGGATGTCCGGGATATCTATAGAATCTTTAGAATCAGCAACTGGCTGATCAATCGAGGCATATAGCTGGCTATAAAACCTCTCGATCTACCCCAGTACCTCTGGCTTGGACGTGAAAACGTTGTCATCCTCTGTGTTCAGCTTTGTAAGCTGACTTTGCCCAATTCTTAAAGTTCCAAGGCTTGTCTGAAGGACAGTGGTAACCGCTGCATGGAAATATTTTTTTATTAATTTAACCGTTTATTGTACGCTATAATACGCAAACGGAGCGCTTCACTACTGTTTCGCTTCCGGGCCAGCACCAACGGAATTCTGAGCGCTCTGTCCGAGCGCTGGGATTCGCCTATGACGTGCAGGTGGTTGCAGCTGCATGCCAGTGCATCCCGCTTTAGTAAGTAAGTAAATAGTAATTTCCATTTTCATTATTAATACTTTGAATTTTAGTTTATTTTTATTTTTGTTTTATATATTTAATTTTAGAAATTCTTATTTTCATTGTTTCAATTTTAATTATTAGTAATCAATTTTAAAAGTTTATTGTATTTTTCAGCCTTAATTTACAAAATGTTTTCACTAATTTATTGTACTTATAATTAAAAAAATTTGAATAGTAATTAATTTAAACTGCCTCCGTGGCCGAACGGTTACCATGCCGGACAGCCATGCAGACGTCCCAGGTTCGATTCCCGGGCCGGGAGAAATATTTGTATGGCCTACATTTATTTGTCTCGTGAGTTTGGGTGTAATTTGTAATTGTCTATTTGTGTGTCCATGGCACCCGCGACACAGAGTTTCCCTAGTGCGGGGCTGTGTCGAGTGTGTGCGTTATTATTATTATTATTATTGTATTTGCTGTAATTTATAAATATGGGTCAAATTGCCTGAAATAAATGATTATTATTATTA